GGTTAAGACTGGTTCCCGATTTATTTAGCACTTTTACATAGAAAGGGGCTCAGGCTTAAAGTGTTTGAACTCCTAACATGATATCACAACTGGGTTCCTGAAGACTATGCTCCTAAGACAGCATCCTGCTAAGTACCACGCTTGCCCCTCAGGACTTACTGCTGGGCCCTCATTAAATGCAGCCGGTGAACCAGCAATCCTAAACATTGCTGTTTCTTCCTGCGTGAATGGATGTGGAAGGGACTTGTGTCTTATTGTGTGTGAGGAACTGTACCAGAGGTTTTCACCTCAATTCTCTCATCTTAGAGAGACATATAACACTCCTGGTTCATCGGTAAGGAACCTGAGATCCAGAGAGCGTAAGGCCTCGTGAAAGAACTGGTACTCAAACCTAGACTTGACTGAAAGCCAAGAGGAATCCATGCCGATGGATTTAAAATTTTAAGAAAAGCTGAAGCTAATATAACAAATATAATGTCCAAAGCCTGAAAAAAAAAAAAGTATTTGTTTATAGGTAACATTTTTGGGAATTGAGAGTAGCTTTATTTTCTTTTTTAGAATTCCCTGCATTTATAGTTTTAAATTGAAATATAACACAAATAAATAACAATGCACAAATCATAAGCACACAGCTCAAAGAAATTTCAAAAACTTAATATTCCCAGGTAACCAGCACCCCGATTAAAAAACAGAACAAACTTGGCCAGAGTGGCTCAGTTGGTTGAGTACCGTCCCGTGCACTGAGAAGTTGCAGGTTGGATTCCCGGCCAGGGTACATACCTAGGTTGTGGGTTCAGTCCCTGGTTGGGAGCATATGGAAGGCAACCAATCGATGTTTCTCTCTTTCTTACATGTCCTTTCTCTAAGCATGTCCTGGGGTAAAGATTTTTTTTTTTTTTAAAGGAAAGAAACAGAACGATACCAGCCCCTTTTGTGTTCTCTTATTAAGTTTACTTTCTAAGGCAGCCTTTGGTATTTAGGACCTAAATTCGATATCTATCAGAAGCAACAGGGAAACAATGCTCATTTTTCCACTCAAAGAACAGAAATAAGGCTCAAGGCTCACAAGGTACATTTTAAAAAATTATCTTTATTTAGGTTTCTGATTCAGCACATGTATCAAAGACTAATCAACATAAAGAAGTAAATAAGACATTAATTGGAAGTCTTACATCTCTCTACACTCTGACTGAGAATGTCAAAAGATTGCCACTATTACCAGAACTCCAACCTCGTCAAGTTGTAGACCAGCTGTCATGAACACACAGTGTGCATGGAGGTGCAGAAGCAAAAGACAAGCTAGCACTTGGCTCTCCTCTCTTCCTTGCTGATGTCTTTCTGTTTGACAGTCCACTTCGCTTTCCATGCTCAGTTCCAAATAAAGTCCAAAGCAGCCTCAGGGTCAGCCTGACCGAATACACTTCCAGAGGAATGCATTCTGGAACTGCTGCGCCTGCAACTTTGTTTTTGCCAGGATGAAGTTCAGATCGAGATGTACAATACAATCTAGATGACGGTGCCAGACTTAAGTCAAGAACTAAAGTTGAGTTAAGGCATGAATGCACACACGCACACGTGCACACACACAGCACCCACACCACCATGAACATAGGACTCCTCCGTTTGCCTGACGAGAGGCAACCAGGGCTTGGCAGGTAACCACAACTGCTGAGCATTCTGCAAAATGCTTCCCATAATTTTATGCCAACAGCTGTGTGTGTATGTTTTATATTTAAAGAGAAATAAAGAAATTAAGAAAACTAGAAACAAGACAAAAACCTAAAAACCCCTCATTTTTTACAGTGGCTCTTGCGCATGGAACTCATGTAGCAGCGTCAATGGCTGGCTCTTCAGTAATTTAGAAATCAAAGGTTGTCTTACTATGTATTTCTTTGGTAATCATCACAACGAAGTTGTCAGTGTTGGTTACCTAAAAGACAAGTACTAGACAGAAGATCAAGTTACACAGAGAAATTTCTTCTGTACTGATTAAGATAAAAATATTGAGCTCTCGAAGCACAAGTTACTATGCTTTTTTCTTTCTTCTTGTCTTATCGGGCACCCTCTACAAGCAAGGCTTCATGCAGGACAAGTTCGTGCCGACCTAACAAAGGGTGACATACCGTATTCTATGGTCCTGACAATTGAAAAGGTAACAAACATTCACATTATCCATTATTTCTGGTCAAATCGAAAGCCAATTACAAAGGGACAGCAGCACTTGGTGACAAAGCCACATTCTGGTCACACATTCATTCCATGGTCGTGGGTCAGTATCTCAGGAGCTCAGCATTGAAAGCTCCTTTCAATCAACAAAGGAGCCAGGTCAGTGAAATCTTAAGTACTTCCACCATCTGCAAATTTCTAGAATTCTGCCTAAAATGCCAGCATGCTCTTTCTTGAGAGAAAAGCAGGTCAGAGCCCAGAGGAAGCGAATTTGGTTTCGCGTAAAAAAAGGCATGGTAATCTGGCAATGACGTACTTACCCTAGTAGCAGCACAGTGGTAGCCGAGGGTCTCTGTCCGCAAGACAGAAAAAAAAAATGAAGCTACTATCGCTCCCACCGGCCTTCGGGATGGCTACGGATTTTACAAAGGCCTCCCGGGAGGCAGTCCCGAGTTCTCCGGGGCGAGTGGGCCACGGGAATGGCAGTGACCACGGGGAGCCCGAGGAGAAGAAGAAGGGGAGTCAGCTCCCCACGGGGGAGGGGGCTCTCGCCTCTCTGGGCTCAGGGTCTGAATCTGCCTTGGCAGGCATTGCCCAGGTGCGGCAGGCTCCATCCGGGCTCACAAAATACTTTAAAAAAAAGACACGAAACAGCATACATCCGGAAGCAGTTAGTGTTTGTTCTATCAATTCTGAATTGTCTGCAGGGAGAGGACGTCAGATGGGCGGTGACAGGTGCCGCCCGCAGGAGCTGTGTTCTGGTTTTTTGAAATGAAATGACTAGCCTGGGGGCCCCAGCACTTCGTGTGGGCAGAAGCCTGAAGGTCAAGAACCTCGTCTCTACAAGGCATTGGTCGGGAACTGTGGTTGGCTCACGCCAGGCGCTTTGTCGTTCTCCAGCTGGCGACGTTCTGACTTTTGTGCTTTCGGGAGGTAACTACATTGACGGGAAGCAGAGGGAAGGTCACTACACGATGGGCTTCCTTGTGTGAGCGCGAGACACTATCCAACAGCACTGAAGACTCTAATCCTGCAGGAGGTTCTTGTAAACATGTGCCATGGTTCTCCTCTAAGAAAAGCCAAGAACTGTACCATGAGGGCAAACGTCGGTTGCCACCTTCTCCGAATACCTCGGAATGGCCATGTACCAGGAGGGCCAGGGAGCGGGAGGTGCCATCCTCAGGGTTCAGCGGACCCAGTCTGATCCTATTAAAAATCTAAAGCCTCAGCAATAATACGCCAAACTTCTCCCCCTGTTTGAGAACTATACTGTGATTATGTATATTACACACACATTATAAATAAAATTTATATAGACGGACGATTTCTTCCAAACAAGGAGGAGTGACGCTCTCAGTTTGGGGGTGAGGAGGGAAGGGAGTGAAAGCAGGAAGAGGTGAAAAATCCTATTGTTTTTACTCTCAAGATCTTAAAATGCTAGTCAAACACTATTATCCAACAAGACTTTTTTTTTTTTAATCTGTCTGTAACTCTTAAATATGCATTCAAAGGCAAAACTGGAGGTTTCTATACTGTACAATATTAAATATCTACAATGTCATGGTTCCTTATTTTTTAGGAGTGTGTTCCATAAAGAGCTAGCTATTAGTAAGAGATGGCTGTCACAAAACATGGACTCTTAAAAATTACTGATAAATTAACTTTCAGTCCTCTGATTATATCCAACAGATACACATTCTCATCATAAAATATACATTCTCTAGGTAAGGTATTTTCGTCCACAGCATATATAAATATGCAAACACAGGTGGTAAAAATCACTTTACTACCAAAGTACAAAACAGTTAACTGCTGAAAAGCAAAAAATAAAGATGTTGCAGTCTTAAGAAAAGAGTGACTCACGGTGTTCCACTTCGAAGTGAAACCCAACGATTTATTTGTGCTAAATGCATGGGGATAATGTATTCAGAATATACTTCTTTGTACACACTGCACTTCTTATACTGGGCGAAATAAGCAGTCACCAATGCTAATGTGCTACTTTCCTATACACCTCTCCTCTCGTCTGCCAAGCAATAAAGTACTGTGCGGCCATTATGCCAAAGATATTTCTATAACATTCATTTCAAATAGTTATCTTCTAGTAATTTCGCACCTTTAAAATATTTGTTCAAACTCTATTTCAGGGGAACACAAAGCAAGAACGGGAAGGGGGAAATAGCTGTTGTCTGTTATAATCGCATTGCCTTCTGCAGCAGGAAATCACACAGCACGCTCTAACCAGCCATGGCAACCACAGTGGGAGGACAACATTAATGGACGCATGTGAAAGGGGGCCAGTTTGGGAAGATTAACATTGAGAAAAAGGAAAGTAATAATCACACTTTAATATACAATAATTACCCATCCCATGTAGGCGGAAAAGGGACAGCCACGTGACCCGTTACTTCTGGCTGTTTTTTTTTTACAAGCGAGGCGGATGCTACACTGAAAACAATCTATAAAAAGGGTATCTGTAGAAAGCTCAATGGACAGTCTTGGGCACTGACCATCTAACTTTCCATTCCAGATTTCCAAATTGTAGTGCTGAGTTATTGGTATGTTTGGTAAACACCATTCTAATGGCGGGGGGGAGGAAGAGGGGAGTGGTGAGAACAGCTCGGTAATTTTTCTGCAAATTCATGGGGGGTGGGGGAAGACTATAAAAAAAAAAAAAAAAAAAAAAAAAAAAAAGATATCCCTTTTTTATTTTACAAACCTAAAAGCTGGGAAAATGAAGCTCTGGGGCCAAGCAAAAAAAAAAACCACAAAAACAAACAAACAAAAAAAAACGGCACACGGCTGCTGAGTGACCGAACATCGCAAAGCAGAGGTTCCAGCCGAGGAATGGACGCACGTGTCGATTCAAGTAAAACACTGATGGAAAGAGTCGTCTGGTTAGTGTTGTCACCCACAACACTGGCTGCGTTTCCGACAAACATTTACAACACAATTAATGGTGAAGCCTAGATAACCTCAGTGCAAATAAGTCAGATCCAAATATGCCAGGGGAAGAAGCCTTTGGCATTGAGTCGACGGCTCCACGGTAGGTACGAGTCCCAACATGAGATTCAGACTAAGCACATGCATTAAGGCTGGGAGGAGGGGTGCACCGAATGTTGCGAAGGGGCGGGCTGCGTGGTGGCTGCCGAGGGGACCCCGGGCTGCATCGGGGGTGGCGGCGGGGGCGGAGGCGGCTGGACCGGGGTCTGTGTGTTGGGAGAAGGAGGCGGCGTGGGCCGTTTGAATTTGTCAGGACTGTTGCTTCTCCGTGGCGAAGGCCTCTGTGGAAAGGACAGGAGCAGTAGGTCAGTGTAGGGACAGACAGCTCATTTCTTTCCACAGCCTGACTCAGAGCTGAGGCCAGTGAAATGTTGACTAGCGATTTCCTGGTCAATCCCTATGGATTTCTCAACGAGTAATGAAAACTTACAGTTAGGTGTATGCCTAACACCTATGAAAAAGCAAAATCACTATGGACTTGCATTGACCGAAGTACTGGACTTGCCCCCCTTCAATGAATCAATCCTAAAATTAAGGCTCAGCTGTCACACCCTCTCTTACATTATCACTAACAAAAGTTTTCTATATCCTAGAAGCTTAAGCTAAACAAAAAAAAAATGTTTTTGCTTTTACATCAAGCCCTCAAACTGCGAAACAGCTTCAGAAAAACCTTAATGCTCTTGGAGAATAAATAGTTTCTTGTTTCAAGATTTCCTTACTGGGAATTTACCGTCAATGCAGTCTTGCTCTCAAACCCCGATTAGCTACATTTCCAATTGCTCTGTTAGCCAACTAAATAATCAGTTCTAAAGAAAAAAAGATCCCCTGAGTGAGGTTTGACCAGATGCACTTGAAGTTCCTTCTAATTTCAGGAGAAAAAAATCCTGAGTGAAACTAGAAACAAAGCTAATTTCAGAAAGCATATGGAAGGCCAGTGAACTGTGAAGGTGCAGACAATAAATATCCTAGACATTATGGCAACTAACAGTAATTGGTTTTGGCAAGGACTTGGCCAGAGTTCAATCAAGGCATTGGCCAGAGTTCAAAGTAAGTTCCACAAGGGTGATTTTTGAAGGAAAGCGAAGTTGAAATTTTCCTTCAGGGATAAGTTTTAGTGTCAACACCAGAATTCGGTATCAGACTATTAGGAAGTCTCTATACAGTGTTTAAGGCGAACTAATGGAGAGAGGGAGGAAGAATGGTGACTGTCTAAGGGCATCGATCCTGGTCTCCTAAGGAGGACCAGGGAGACCACCATCTGGGGTAAGGGCTGCTTCCCACCCCGTGGTACTCACTGTGATGCCGTGGGATGCTCCCATATGCTGCGCATGAAGACCCGGGGAATTGTAGTAAGACATGCCGGCTCTTGTCAGTGAGGTTGGTGGCGTGAAACCAACCGTGTGGCTTGCATATGACAGACCTGAAATATAACAAGACCTTGTAAGCATTATTTCAAACTCAAACTATCTGTTGTCCTTGACCATCTTAGGAGGCTTCAAAATGCAGAAGTTCTCCGTCACCCACAAAAATGGAAATAGATGAGGTGCACAGTGGGCCCAGGAAGTGGCCTGCTGGGTGACAAGGGATGTAAAAGTCAAGCCGTGGAACAGAACAGAGAACTGGAAATAATCCCATGCACACATGGTCAAATGACCTTCAACAAGAGTGCTGAGAATTCACAATGTGGAAAGGGTAGTCTCTTCAACACACGGTGTTTGAAAAAACTGGATACCCACATGCAAAAGAATGAAGCTTACAAAATGGAGGCTGGGGGTAAAGTCCAAGGCGTTGGGAGCGAAGTGGCCGTTTACCGTGATGTGTATGCAGGGAGCGGGGAGAAGAGGTTTTCTTTGAACAGCTTTGGGGAATATACAATCCTAAGCCTATTTCTTATGAAAGCAATGAAATCTAAGAGAAAGGCTATAAAAGTGGATCCTTATCACCAGATAAGAGAAGCTCAGAGAGTTCAATTCATAACAACAAGAATAAGACCCAGCTTATATTCTAGTATTACAAGGTTTATTATTATTATTATGTTACTGCTAATCAAAAATCTCCAAAGACTCCTATTGTTTACCCAAATTTAAAAAACTTCTCTCCTCTGGCTATTATAATTCTCTTCTCTGGCCCTATGCATTTGGCTCCAAACTGTCTCCTGAGGTTCCTGGTCGGTGGATATCAAAGCCCTCGACCAACCCAAAGCAAACGAATCAGAATCTATGGGGACCAGGGTCCCAGGCAGCAGGTGTGAAGAACCACAGTGACCTTATTTGTCACCCGATTCTGACCTCCACATCTCAGTTCAGACTGTGCCCTTTGCCTGGGATAGCTTCTCTTCATACAGGACCTTCTCGTAACTTACTCCTTCCCCCGCTCAACCCCCACCCGGGCCGATCAGGACCTCACTCAGCCTCCTGGAAGAGGCCAAGAGCCCAGACTCCACAGCCGACTGCCACGTTACCTCAGCGTCTGGTTCTGCCGCTCGGCACGGAGCCACTGTGGACTTTTACTCCTTCAACTGTAAAATGAGATTATCGGAGTGGCCCCTCAAGGTTGTGGTGGAGATGAAATGAGTTAACATCACAAAATGCTGAGAGTGCCCGGCACCCAGTAGAGAAAGGCTCAGTGAGTGCCAGCGTAGGAAGGCCCACCTCAAAAGCTCTCCAAGCTGGTAGCTCTCCGCTGTTCAAACCTCTTCTTAAACGATTTTGCTTCTTTTAGTGCAACTTATTTTAAAATAGTTTATAATTCACAGGAAGCTGTAAAAATACTACAGGGTTCCCACGAATCCTTCCCCCAGCTTCCCTGAATGACATCTTACATAACCACAGCACATTATCAAGACCAGGAAACTGGTATTGCTCCAATAAAGGTGACGAAGACACAGGATGTCACCTGGTTTTACTGTATTTGTGTGTGTGTGTGTGTGTGTGTGTGTGTGTGTGTATGTACAGCTCAATGTAGTTTCTCCACATGTACAGATTCGAGTCACTGTCACCACAACCAGGTCACAGAACTGCGCCATCACCACCCACCAGGAAACTCCTTTGTGTTAGTTCCTTTAATTCTAACGTCTGTGAAGGACCAATGTACTCTCCAGCACTGTGATTCTGTCACATTGAGAACGTTATAGAAATAAAATCATACAGTATGTAACCCCTTGAAACTAGTTCTCATTTAGCATACACCCTGGCAATCACTGGAGAATGGAATCAGATACCATGATTTGGGCGGTGGGTGTGCATGTTGGGCAGTGGGTGTGGTGAACACCCTTTTTGGAACTTAATTATTCCTTACCCTTGATGAGGGCACATGAAAATACACTAATTGGGAATGTCTCTTTCTTAAATAACGGATGAGCCAAAAAACACTCTCCCCATAGATAATCCACATATAAATGAACAAAGAGATCTTCCCTAAGTTCTAGGAAATTTACCTTTCAAATTGTGAAACAGGATTCAAGGTATCTCAACAAGTTGGTGAAAATGCAAGACTGCCAATGTCAAATGGTAAGGGAGGAAGAAGAACCAATGTGCTTAAAGTAGAAATGAAAACTGCAGGAACAGCATCACTCCACTAAGGAAGTGGTTCTCTGAGAACCACAAAGTCTTCCAATAGAAAACAAAGTGAGGGAAGAGGGGTTGGGGGAGAGATTAACCAGAGACCGCATACGCAGGTATGCATAACCCACAGACAGACTTCCCAGGAGTGCGGTGAAGGCCTGGGGACGGGGCAGGAGCATGGTGGAAGGGGGCCAATGGGGGCAGGGGGGAGGGGACACCTTTAATACTTTCAACAATAAAGTAAATAAATATAAAATGTAAAAAAGAAAGTGAAAAGAACACATGAAAATTTGGGTTTTGCTGACGCACTTGTATATAGGGACTGCAATGGACTAGAGTAGGAGTAAATCTGCTGCCAAATAGGAGATAAAATCTATTTTGATGATATTATAGAACTGAAAATAGGATACAAATGTTCTCACTTAGCCTGGCTAAAAGAAAAAGGAAAAATCCTGGTGTTACTTTTTATGTAGTTTAAGGGGAAACTGAATAGCTTATTTACACAAGCAAGGCCCACACTACAGGGACAGGGTCTGCTGAAAGTAAAAATTATGAAAATGGAAGAATATTTTCTTCAAAGCACTTGCTATAATAGAAGTTTAATGCTGCCAACAAAGGTCTGAATTTATTTTTATTTTCAATGGCCACAACATTATACCTAATGAACTGGAAATTACATGCCTCTCAGGATGTCTTTAGGCTGAAACACACAGAACATTAAGCTATAGGTAATATGAATCAGCATTACCCATCAATCGTAAAAGCTGCTCTCCATCTTGCTTCTTCCTAAGTCATGCCTTCCTTTTAGGTCAATAAATGAGAAAGCAAAAAAGACCTTTATTGTGGTGATAAAACCCAAGAGCTCCTTGGGGGAAACTGAGAAGTAGCGGAGAAGGGAAGCTTTGGGAGAGAAGTCAAGGCCACTGGAGAGCAGGAGAAACAGTTTCAGGAATACCCTTGTGGCAGGAACAGGAGTGATGACCAAGACACAGATCCAGACAGCAAGTTGTCTTTGTTTGCAAACAGCCTCTCTTGAGGCAGTTGGACGCCAGAGACAGTACGCCGGACACCTGCGGGTGCACCACCACAGCCACGCTTGGTTGTGGGACTTTTGATTTCACCTCTTAAACACACACCAACCACAGCATCCTAGAGCTGGGCTGGGTCTTACACTCCCAAAACCAAGCCATTTCTACCTCGCACTTTCTCTCTGGCTACCCGTGTTACGGCAGCACGTCCCCTTTGCCAACCTGAAGAACAGACAATATGAGATGTCACCCTCACACGGAGCTCTTTCACTTTCCCAACCATAAAACCTTTATTGCCATTAACCCTTCCAAGCAGTCACCTCTTCTCCACTCCCCCCACTACACACACACACACACTTCCCCCAGACCTGTTTAAAATCTGTTTAGCAGCAAGCACAAGGAATCCAGCCTCTTCACTTCAGTCACAAGACTCGATCTTTGGCTGCTACCTTTTCATTCCTTCCTCCCCTCCGCTTGCCAGCCAACCCCACCCTGGCCCTGCCACTTCCTCGCTGCTGCTTCCTCGTTCTGCCTGGCTGGACGGTTTACTTGCCCTCCAAGCTGTGCTGGTCCTGGACCCAAAGACCCCGGGGGCAGTTTTCGGGGTCAGGTGAAGACACGCATGCCTTTGAGGGAAAGGCTTCTGAGGAGCAAAGCCAGCTCCTTCTCGCATGTCCCGGTACGAAGACCGAGTCCCACTCACAATCTACTGAAAATAGCTCTCACAGATCCCAGTGGGAGGTGTGCAGGAAGCAGCTGATCGGTGCTTCTCTCTCATTGATATTTCTATTTAGCCCCCTCCCCTTCTCTCTCTGAAATCAATAAAAATATATTTAAAAAAAAAAGAAAAAAAGAACAACACTGGCTTTGCAACAAGACATGGCCTCCCCCACCACTTTCTGGCCATGAGACCAGTAGCTTCCGATTCACTGCATCCTCAGTTTTTACATGGGAAATACGGTGCCTAGGGTAATGCTTTGGCGAATAGAAATTAGATTATGTAGGCAGAACATAATGAAAAAGCCATAAAATGTGACTATTTTCACCGTCCATATATATATATATATATATATATATATATATATATATATATATATATATAAAATAAATACCCAGGTCCTCAAAGTGCTCTTTGAAGCAGCATCACCATCTTATTAGTTCCCATGTTAGTAAGTAAATAAATATTAAACCTATTAAAAAAAAAAAAGATATGCTATGATGCATCTTACAAATCAACCCACGGTTTAGTCAGTGCATCAGCATTTAAAATCGCAAAGACAGTTTTAAAAACAGTTTGGGGAGTTAATTTCCTTTTAGATTAAAAAGAGAGAAACACCAGCTCCCACTATAACATTTACGCTTAAAAATTACAAGATGAACCCTGGCAGTTGGCCGGTTTTCTCAGTGGTTAGAGTGTCAGCCTGCAGACCAAAGAGCTGCAGGTTCTCTTTCTGTTCAAGGGCACATGCCTGCCCCTCCCATAGGGGTATACGCAGGAGGCAACCAATAGATGCTTCTCTCTGTGTCACTCTCTCTTCCCCTCCCCCTCCTCCCTCCTTTCCACTCTCTCTCTTTGAAAATCAATGAAAAACATATGCTCAGGTGAGGATTAAAAAAAAAAATTTACAAGATAAGACTCAGTCTTTTTTTTTTAAGATAAGACTCAGTCTTTTTTTTTAATTAATTATTTTATTTTTACATATTTTATTGATTTTTTTTTGCCTCCCTCCCTCCCTCCCACACATCCCCTCCCTCCCCAGAGTTTTATGTCCATTGGTTGTACTTATATGCATGTATACAAGTCCTTCGGTTGATCTATTATCTCCCCCAGATCCTCCTCCCCTCCCTGCTGTAATTTGACAATCTGCCTGTTGCTTTACTGTCTCTATATCTATCTTTTGGTTCATCAGTTTATAATGTTCTTTATTATCCACAAATGAGTGAGGTCATGTGGTGTTTCTCTTTCATTGATTGGCTTATTTCACTCAGCATGATGTCTTGATAGCGATTTGTTTTTATGCTTCTCAAAAACACATGAACACACACTCCCTCTGTTTGTAAGACTTTTACTGATAAAAGGAAACACATTCAGCGATGCCCAATAACATACCAGAAATCAGTCTCAGAAGCAGCGGGCAGAGGTACTCACCCGGGGAGATGGGCCTGCTTGAGCTTGGAGAAGGAGTGTAAGGGATCGGGCTGGACACAGTGCGAGGTCTTAGTCCTTGTGCAGACATCTCATTAAAACACCTAGGAGGAAGGGGGAGATGATCAGGACCGCCTGCATTTCAACCATTCTTAAGAGAGCTCTGCTGAGAAAATGCTTGGGGTTCCCATCCCAACGTGTAGAGAGTGATGCTGTAGCTAGGAGACACCCATTACCATGGGCTCTTGCAGGGGGGTCACTGCCCAGCAAACCTCTCCCCAGAAACTTGGGCTGGGGAATCTGGAGATTCTAGTTCAGCATGGGGTCCTGGGGACAGATGCACCACCCAACAGAGAGGCCGGGCTTCTCTCCATCACAGCAGCTATACAGACTCCACCTCCACTGTCGCAAGAATTACAGAGCCGTCTGTGTGTTCACGGCCACATTTAAATTGCTCTTTGAAACAAACCCAAACAAGCCCTCTGGGATCTACATGATCAAATTAGAGCTTAAAGATCCGTCTTTCTGTGAATCAAATGTTGATCCCGTGCAAGGCAAGCCTTCCTTAACAAAGTCACGCGTTAGAAGGTAATAGAGTGCCGATGAGGATACATTTCTGTGTGAGAGATGTCCTAGTATGTTATCTTCCACAGGCCTCGTGGCCTCAGGAAGGAACAGGCTGAGACCTGTGTCCTGGGGAAGATCTCAGCCCTGATAACCCAGCTCATGAGCAGAACGTTAGCGCTGTCGCTACTCCACTGGCTTACTCGACAGGAAGAAAGCCAGGCTGCGGAATCTGACATACATCTCTCCCCTAGACACCCACCACCGACTCTTCTCTGCTCTCCAGAGCAGGCCCACGGAGGCAGGGCCTGGACTTCTTGTATGCTACCATCCAGCTAGCAGCAGCGAAACAGCCTCTTGGTTTTAAAGGAATAAACACAACTTGTAGGTGCCTCAAGTGTCTATTTTATTTTTCTCCCAAATGTGCTATCATCATTCCCGGGAGGGAGAGGAGATGATGTCTTTATTAGGAAGCTGTACTCGCCTGAAACGATCTGACGTGCAAAAGATAGAGCAACCCTCCTGGCGTGGATACGAGTTCTGAGGGGAAAATGTTTATCTGGAGCCTGAAGGAGCGTTAGCAGTGTCACCATAGTTGGAGGAAATTCCAGAGCACAGCTGGCTCAAGATCAAGCACAGGGTCCCGTGTGTGCGCGAACAGACAATCTGCTCGGTGGTGCCTCCCAAGTAGTTAGTAAAGAAGTTAATAGGGCTGATGTGCTTTTTAATCCAAATGGTTTTCAGGGGATATGAATTTCAGAGAGAACGGGACACGGTCAGAAAGAAATCAATGAAATTCAGAGGTAAGAATAGTTAAGGATAGTTTTATGTAAACTTTTGAGACCGAATACTCTTTATTCTACCAAACAAGGTAGCATATACATACGTAGATTCTTTAATGAGGATGCCCCGTTACTCTGTTTTTATACTTTTTTAAAATTATGAAATTATAGACCTTCGCTACAGAAAAATCTCAAACTTATCTTGAAAGGACAATACCACTGTCCATAGTAAATTGGCCCGAAGCCTTGTTAGTGCCCTGGATCTAGTAAGAAGCAGAAACAAAAGCAGAGCACTGCTGGGGAAACACTGCCCACATGCTTTCAAGCAGTGTGTTCGGACATCCATCCCCAGCACCAGCAGGCCCTGGTCTCAGCTACGGGCTCCTGGGCCTGTGGAGGGGCCCGGAGGAGGCTCGGTCTCCCTCCCACACAGTGATACCGACCATGTAAGGCCAGGGCACCCCTGATCCAGGACAGGAAATGTCCTTGCAGAAACGATCTGGTTCTGAGACGGGCTAAATCCCCAACTGCTGGGTTTCTCTGCTGACTAAGCGGTTTTTCCAAGGTGAATGTGTTGCTTATCTTCACAATCACCTTACTCCCAGAGTTGACGGTGGGAAGGGGGAGGAGGAGGGAGCGGGGAGAGAGAGGGGAAATCCCGATGAGAGAGAAATGCTGATACCACTTTCTCTGGTTAACCAAAGACTGACTCTTATTTCAGCCCATTTCTCAGTTGGACAATCGGGGGGGGGGGGGGGGGGGGGGCGGCCTGATGATACACTTCAGCAGATAAACGCATTGCGTTATTTTTTTTTTAAAGTAGCTGCAGAAAGGCTCAAAAGTTACGAAGAATGTTAAGGCGAGAGCCTTTGGCTTTCAACAACCTCCTGTCTTCTGCTGATTCCTTGGCTTTGAGTACACGTTTGCTTGGGCTGTACCAGGGCTTGCTTACCTGCATCTAAGACTTCAGCCTCTCCCAGGCTTAAAACAGACATAACCTGGGACTGGACCAATTCACCAACACATGCGAACTCAGCCTCTCTACACATCCCCCTGCCTCCACTGCTCTCCCCAGCAAACGATTCTGAGAAGGACATTTCCCCACCTCTCTGTTTGGGATTAAGGGAAATGGTCACCCTTCTTCATTTCCCCCATTCTTAGCATCTATTTGATGCAGGAGTGTTCATCATCAGACCCAGTAAATGTCAGCACCATCCCCTTCCACATCTAACAGGGTGTGAAGAGAGACCTTTTGGAGCCTTTGTTAAAATAAACCAAAACAAACAAACAAACAAACAAACAAACAAGCAAGGAAGCAGGCTCCTCAGACCAGTGCACACCTTTCGTCATCCATTTCCAAGCTGGACTCGCTCTCGGAGAGCTGCCGGCAGAGGGCTTCCCTCCTCTCCATCTCCCTCTGCAGCTTCCTCTGCAGCCGCAGGTTCTCTTCCCTCATGTGACGCTCCTCCTCCAGGTACTGCGCCATCTTCTCCGAGTCTGAAAAGCCAGAGTTCCCCGTGAAAACGTGGCCTGGGAGCGCACATACAAACCTTCACCAAGATGCCAGCCGGCTGGCTCCTCGGCTCCAGACAAGAACCGTCTCAAGCCAGGAGCTCTCTCTCTCCCATGCTTTAAATCTGGACTTAGCGTTTACCCCGAGTGACCAAGTTTACCGATGATCTGCATTTGGGAAAAATACCAGCGGCGTTGGGAGTTTAGGCATCATCACCCCCACTTCCTTGCCTTCTAAGCAGCCTGAGGTGGAGGAGGAAATGGTGGACTTGGCAGCTATTAGAGCTTCCTGCATTGCTGGAGCTCCGAGGGGAGAGGGCTCCATCAGGGAAACAGAGCCAGCCCACGGGCTGCCCTCTGGGCACCATTTCTGTGCCCCTCCACTCCAGACACAGCACGGCCAATCACCTACAGAGCCATCACACTGGCAGCGCACCCATGGTGCCCTGGGGGCCAGTGAGCTACAGCATGCTCGGTATCGGTTATAATTCCTTTTTAAAAACTAGAAGTTGACATAGCAAACAACTCGCATGTGTCAAATAAGATTACTACTTTTGAGAGTGTGTGTGTGTGACTCACTCACAGCCTTTCCGAGTCAGAGAGCAGGCAAAGACCTGCAAGCAGCCAGGCTCTTGGGATGGCACCTTGGCTATGACAAATACCCCTTCCTGAGGAGCTGGCCAGACAGGGGTGGGCAAACGTAGGTTCACAGTGGTGGGCATGTGAAACAGTTAATTCTTGTGTTAGCAGTTAGAAATTATTGTATTATTTATTCCTATTAAAGCTATAAACCTACTGCTGCCCACCCCTATCTGTAGAGGTCTCCACTCCTGCATCCATCTCCCGGCCAGAGCTGTGTAGCCCGAGGGCAGAAACTGGACCTGGTCGGATTCTCTCTCTCTCAGATATCTGGAATGCAGAAAGGACACCTTCATGCGGCTCTAGAATCTCCTTCTGCTGAGTCCCTGGTTCGCAAGCCCAACGTTGAGAGGTTATTCTGGGCAACATTCTGGCACATTCCAATAAACGGCCATCACATGACCTCCCCGCTCTTTTTCTGGTTTACCTCAGACAGAATCTATTGTTACTAAGGAACCAAAATAACCTTACACAAAACTCAGTGTCTACCCATCTTCCTGCTTCTTCCTTTTCCCTATCTTAGCCATGAGTTTGGAAAAAGTAAAACCTCAAAAAAAAAAAAGGGGGGGGGGGGGGGACACGGTAATATCTACTTCACTATTCTGAAAAATAGCTACCCAGTCAAAGTGGCCATGATTGCGCCTGAGAGAGTTCTCCATGTTTCCAGCCCATTCCAAATTTAAGAAGGAAGGAGCTGAATGCCACACTGGCCATTTCTCTGCCACAAAAAGACCCTATTTCAACTCCCAAGTCCATCGAATTAGTTTCAGTTTTAAGCAACTCTGTGAAGGTCTGGTCCTTTAAGCAAATAATGACTTTTGAGGATAAATATCCAAAGATTTCTAAGGCGTCAGCGTTTCAGAACACATAAAAACGACTGGATATCCTTATTTTAGAAATTTAAATAAAAATACCAGAATTAATAAACACTGTTATGTACGCTGAACACTAAATCCCTCCGTTGTTCTCCATATAATCAAAACCCTGCTGCTTCATCCAGTGGCAAAAGTCCCTTTAATTGAAGGCATGCTGGGAAAATATTTACAAAGCACACTTTTAATATAAACGATTTAAATTACTGCTTCCCAAATATGCCCGTGTGTAGCACTTCTCACCAGCGCTCCAGGAAGCATTAGATTGGCCCCTCGGAGTACTTATTGTTTCCAGAGCCAGAAGGGCGCTGTCAGAGCGAGTTGCCTTTCTTTTCCATAAATAGGAAAGAAAGCTTCGCAGAACTGAGGGTTCATGAGACTTCAAGAATAATCAGTGCAGGGTGAACAGTTTTTCAAAGGAAACGGCAATCCTTTCACATCTGGGGAAATCAGCAGGGGGAATCCTTAAACAATCATCTACAGACAAGAAAGCCGGTCAGCAGGAGGGATGGCTGGAAGACTTCCTGGCTGTTCAGCAATTAACAGAGAGGCCCAGCATTGGCCGGTGTGGCTCAGTTGGTTGGGTATTGCCCAGTGCGCCAGCAGGTTGCAGGTTTGATTCTCAGTCAGGGCACATGCCTGGGTTGTGGGCTTGTTCCCTGGGTACTGGGCGTGCAAGAGGCAGCCATCTGATGTCACAATCTCACATTGATGTCTCTCTCTCCCTCTCCCTTGTTAAAAATCAGTAAACGATTAAAACAAACAAACAAACAAACAAACAAACAAACAAACAAAAAATAACCAGAGAAGTCAGAAGCATAGAGAAGACATCAACCAGGTCAAAACTTCTGGGTGTTATTGACCCAGGCACAGAGAGATGTCACTCCATGGGTGCCCTCTGCTGGCACACCGCCACACCTGATTTCAAGAGACTTGACTTACTTCCAGAAGTCAGCTCTTACCTTCCCTCACGCAGAGCTCCCTGAGACATAAGAGCCACAGCTTATGTTCTCCCTTCTGAGCCACAGTTTATGCTCCCCTATCTTCAGCCACCTCGCAATAGCGGGTCCAAGACAGTCAACTGAGAGTGACTTCCAGTCAGAGTCCAAAGAGGTGGTTTCCACATAATCCAAAGGTGACCTACACAGTTTGCTTTCACTTTCAAGTTTATGGTTAAAAAAATACCGATTTATGGAAAATGATGCAATGACTAATAAAATAATACAAGAATAAACTTTTGTGTACTCACAAGTGTAAACCTACTTTTGCCCACTCCTGTATAATAAATTGTGCCTTTCTAAGCTACTAAGCGTGTGGTCTTTTGTTACAGCAGCAATAGGAAACTACCACGTTGTGTTTTTTAAAGGTTCTTGATGCACCATCCCAGGCTGAATAAGAGCTTACAATGGATTTTAGAAAATAAAACCAAACTAAAAATCACTGAAATTTACCCTGGAGGTGTTCTTGAACAGTAATCAAATGTATATACAGACATTCATTATAAATATGGCAACACAAGCAAAAAGGATCTATTGGTATGGGGCTAGTTAAATAAACTGTGGTGTAACCAAATAATCAAATACTGAAGCTGTCCTTTAAAAAAGGGAGTAAGATAGCTCTATAGGTTGGCAAGAGAAAAGTTACAAGATATAGTAAGTGAAAACAAAAAGATGCAAAGAGTATATTCATTGTATTACTATTTGTATTTTAAAAGTTTATACAAACATATATATCTGGAAAAAATGCATAAAAAAATAGATAATTGCACCCAGTCAGTGTGGCTCAGTGGCTGAGCATCAACCCATGAACCAGGAGGTCATGATTTTATTCCCAGACAGGCCATATACTTGGGTTGCAGGCTCAATTCCTAGTAGTGGGTGTGCAGGAGGCAGCCAACTGATGATTTTCTCTCATTATTGATTTTTATCTCTCTCTCTCTGAAATCAATAAAACATCTTTTAAATTTTTTTTTAAATAGGTAATTGTCAGAATTGGGTGGTTGCGGATCCGAAATGAGAGACTTATTTTCCCCTGCATACTTTTCACTACATTGCCTATTTGAACAAATAAATTGGAGCAACTCAAAAGCAGAAATAGGAGAGACCCACACAAATGCACAATGATCTCATCAAGTACTCAGAAATCTAGTTCCTTTGACTTCCAACTCAACACTCCCACCTTTTCCAAAATAACAAATATAAATTTCAAAAGCCCTTATTCAAGTGCCATGAACAAATGTTATCTATGGCTAAAATTTAGCCGTAAGGAAGATAAACACTCTAATCTCTGCATTAAAACCCCCCACATATATTGATGTCTCCTGCAATATTTTGTTAGCACCATCCTAGAGATGGACGCAGGGGAGAAGGTTAAAAATATTACCTGTGATTCTGGACCCTCCTGAAATTACTTGAATTATTTTTTAGAAGTATTCTAAACTAGCTGCCTGGCCCTTCTATAATTAATTTTAAAAATAACGTATTCCAAGATGACAGGACAAAGAGGTACTGGTAATGGAAATACAATACGACTTTGATTAACAAAAATCAAATCGTAAATGTCGGTAACACCCTTGGTACTTGGTAAGTAGATTAATTCTGCAGACAGAAGACAGGAAAACCAGAGGCTACGTACGCTGTAACTGAGCAGCCCTCAGCTGCTTCTTTAGCCTCTCCACTTCATTCTTTAAAAACCGGATGTGGCGCATCATGTTTTCTGGAGAGTCGATCTCCATGGAGATGTCTCTGGGTGATGGGGGAGCTGAGACCGGCTGGTCTAATTTCTCCTGCAAGATCCTTTTTGGAAAAGTAAAATTGCAACAATGAGAAACTGTTTGTTTGCCTTTGAAAGATAAAACAACATAATAGTCAGAGGGCTTGTTTCAATAGCAAGCTCCTGTAATGAATGAACTGCAGAACCAATTCACAGGGTGGCTTGAATCTCCTCTGCCCATTTCACATGAACTTCTGGTCACCCTGACCTGGTATTCGGGTCAAAGGGCAGAGCTGAATGAAGGACCCACCCTCCCTTTCCTTCAAGTTGCCACTGGTAATTAAGCATTCCTAAAAAAAAAATCTCTAACATGTGCTTCTAAGTAGTATGTCTGGCCTAAATGTCTGCCATGCTGGCTGAGGACATGGAGATACCAAAGGAATTTCACTCTCTCAGTGCTTTCAGCTGAAGTTTATGAACTGTGCACTATCAGTCTCTGTGGGTGGTGGCATAGCATGGAGACTCGTATAAAATTCCCTGCTGAAAAACCAAGCTGAGGGCATGACAAACTGATGAGAGGCCCTTTGCTTTTGGCCACAGCTAAGGCAGAAAGTTAAAAGCAAAACAAATTAGATTAATAATTGGTAGTTCCACCTTCCACACTAATTATCATTAAGCACATAAAATGCTTATTTGTTATATTCAACAGCTTTTGACTTATAAAATGTCAATTTCAGATTGCTCAACCCAATAATCTGCAATAATTTGGTACTGATTGAGTTCTGCAAAGGAAGACTGAATGGCAATAGACTTCCATGTCCCATTTTATGGGTTGCTGGGGGGTTTTGGTTTGGTTTTGTTTTTAATTTTTACCTTTGAGTTTGCTCAAGGGCTCTAAAAACAACATTTATTATATTAAGTCATTTTTCCTAATTCCATCTATTAGTACTGCTACAATAATGCAAAATACAGCCACATCTTGAATATTTCCCTGTAGATATACAGTGCCTCTACTTGCACTTTTCTTAAAGCCGTGATATGCTTCTATTTTGCAAATCTTGAGATGAACTCAGAATAATTTATGGATTCATCCAAACCCAATATTTATGGCAAGAGGACTCTGGTGAGCAAACAAAAAGGTCCTCGTGAAGTGGATTAATAAACATTTTCAAGAAATTCCCTTTCTACAGCCATTCACACATCCCGCATACAGAACTCCTCGCCATTCTTCTAGCCTGGCTCCAGCCACCCAGTATGCAGCACTTAGAATAGAAATAAGGGCCTGACAGTACCTTGCACAGGGGGGTTCAAGAAATGTTTGCCTGCCCTAACCGGTGTGGCTCAGCGGATAAGAGCATTGGCCTGTGGAGTGAAGGGTCCCAGGTTCGATTCTGATCAAGGGCATGTACCATGGTTACGGGCACATTCCAGTAGGGAATGTGCAAGAGGCAGCTGATCAATGTTTCTCTCTCATCAATGTTTCTAACTCTCTATCCCTTTCCCTTCCTCTCTGTAAAAAATCAATAAAGAATGTTAAAAAAAAAAAAAAGAAAGAAATGTCTGCCATTGAATGACATTTCACATCCATGTATATACATTTAACGCAAAGGATGCTAACCTTAAATATGTACGAGCATTTCTTTGCAGCAAAACATTAAATGGTAATTTTTCTATCAAAATCTCAGTCTTCCTAACGAAGTACATTTTATAAATATATAATATAATAATTACAGGCACGTAGTATACATGCTATGCAGTTTAGAAAAGAACTGGGGAAGCCAGTTCAATCAAATAAAAAAGCTGAAACTATAGCCATCCGTCAGAACAATTTAAAGGTGAACAATAGCAACTGGACTAATTTCTTCACGGCCTCTGACACCAAATGGAAAGAAATTCTGCTGGGCCACTGTGAGAGAAGTGTGAAGAGGTGACCAGCACGAAAAGAGGTCAGAAAGCTTTCAACATGTTTTGCATTTGACAAATTAAATGACATGCATCAACCATGGAATTAAAAGTCCCATTGTTATTCTCCAGTCACACCCAGAACAGCACCCTACTCACATCCGCAATCCCCTATGCAACAGTAAGACTAAACAAACCGCTTTTCAGCTTCAAGTTTATCCATTCTTTTCCAGAGACGATTAACTAGTGCTTCTTGCTCTTGCTCCAAAGTATTCTCAAGGTCAATCTTCTCTCGTCTCAACTAGAGGAAGGAAAAGAAGTTTTACTGAGAATAGCAGGCCACTTAAAAACTTGGATAATTAGATTTCCTGATTGGACCATTATGACCCCTTTACTTGGAGAAATTGCGAAGAAATGGCCAATTTTCTAGCACAGACACTTTAAATGCATCTAGTTCTTACACTCTTGAGAAAACCAAGACAGGTTCATTCTTTGATGTTCAAGCTTAATGGCTGTCTGGTACATCACTTGTTTTAGCATTTATTCAAGGCACATGGGAAAATCTCCCTTTAAGAGAGTTAGGGGGGAGTTCTGCCTACTAGTCATATCAGGACTTACCTGAATGTTTGTATACCCACCCCCCCCGCAGTCCTGCATGCACTTCAACATTAAAGACGACATCAACCACATATATAGATACCTCAAACACCCCTATTTGTCAATGGGTGCACACAAATATGTCCCAAGATATAAAAATAGGCACAAAATTATAAACACCGAATTCACACAGTAGTGGTTACCTCCGGGGAGGTAGAAAAGAAGGGAACTTCGATTTGAAGGAAAGTATGCAGTTGTGGAGGGAACCCCAAACTATTCTACTTCATAAAAAGAAGCAAACTGGAAAAATTCATTTAACCAGTCAATATTGAGAAATATGAAAATACTGAAAACAACGCCGGGCACTGGTCAACAAGGAAGTAGCCGGGAGCCCAGAAGTCAGAAATGTCTGCCTTTGTGAACTTACATTGTAAAGGTGTCAGGATAGTAAATGAAACAAATAAATTACGTATTTGGTAGAGGGCGAAAAGGATATGAATAAAAAGGTTATTGAGAGGGTTAGAAAAATGCAAGGATCAGTAGACTTCACAAGGACAAAAAGAGAGAATGTGCTGCCTCATTTTTTTGTACTTGTCTATGTATTTGAGATAGTAAATAATTTTAATAGGAAATTTCCTTAAAAAGAGAGAAAGGCTGTGTGCCTGCCCCTATACTGTCCCTGTAACCAAACCCAATTAACCTTTTCCATCACCGACTCAACAAATTATAATATCTGTGATTGCACAGCTGCAAAAATGCCACAGGGGCAGATTTCACGTTTCCTTAGGAGGTCATAGAGCCAAGCTCCTACTGATCAAAGATCCCTGCATATGCAATAAAGTGAGACCAACAGGTAATCTTTTAAAGTGACCAACGTAGACTTTATCCAGCAGGTAAATGAGCCTGGGTCACAGAGTCAATGGAAAAATACAGCTTCAGGATCTTTTTCTTTGCATGAGGAGGGTAAACGGTGGTGGGATGTCAGAGTAAGTCGGACGAAAGGATTAGAACTGCTACAATAATTTTGTGCTGTGAAGCTGGGAATAGGCTAATGCACGCATGCTCCTCAGAATGTTAAACAGTTCCTACCGGGAGCAATGAGAAAAGACCTGGAAAGCCTCACAGAACTCCTATGCAACCTCGTGAGATTTTGTGCGGACCACACTTTTGGTCACGCTTTGAAGTATGACTTACGGCCATTTTTTAAAACAAACGAACAAGCAAAAAAAACAACACATTCTAAGGCATTTGCCTGTGAAGGACCCTTTTCCTGTGTTTGACTAAGCAGGCGTCTTCAAACTATGGCCCGCGGGCCACATGCGGCCCGCAGAGGAGTCTGATCCGGCCCGCCAGGTTTTTTGGGCAGTGAGCGCAGCCGAGGTGTTACAGTAGGAATTAGTAGTTCATATAGTCCGGACCTCCAGCTCTCCGAGGGACCGTGATCTGGCCCCCACTTTAAAAAGTTTGAGGACCCCTGGCACTAAGGCATCGTTTTGTAGTAGGGAAACTTATATCCAATTACGTTTCATTTTGGAGTACTCATGCACAGTGCTAACCAGTAACTCTGAACACCCAAAGCTGTCTTTGCCTATGAATAACTTACTAGGCGTGTGGCTCTAGCAGGTACTCACCTGCTGAGAGCCTCAATGTCACCATCTATGAAAGAGACGGTTGGCCTAGATGATTTCTGAGGGCCCTTTCAAAGCTACCCATTTTATCCTTCTCCATCAGCGTCGGTCTCAAGACAGCAGCTGTCTTTAGCCTGGGCTGGCTCAGCCGCCGATTTTTAGAGCTAGAAGCAGCGAGACAAATCATCTAACCCCACCATTTCATTTTAGAGCTGAAGGGACACAAGCTCTTAAGGAGAAAGTAGGATTTGGGGTATAAACGATGCTGTGGTTTGGGAGCCTACCTCCTTTGCCAAGAATTCTTGGGAGTTGCAGAGTAAGGGGCAGCTTCATGAGTCTGAGAGTATGAGGACACAGAGACAAGAAAGAGAGCAGGACAAACGGGTTGAAAATGGACATGAACTTTGGCCTCTGTGGGCTATCCATTTCCTGCCTGCTTCAGCAAACAGGCTTCCTGGGGGTGAAACTTGGGATCGCTTTACCAATGTGCTCTCCTAACTCATTTGCATGATGTGGGCCACACAGGAGGCTCTCAGTCAGCAGCCTCGATGTGGGTGTTTCATTGCACGGACTGGCAGCGCTGTAGGGAGTCCGTATTGTTTAGCCCCCAAAGAGCAGGGTTTCTGGACTTGTTTCTTCAGCTTTAAAAAAATCTCAACTTTTCAGCATTGCTGGGAATTCTGATGGACATCAGGGGCAGAGAAGTTAGAGGGAATGGTATTATTTATGATACGATGAACGGCCCATTAGATTCTTTATCAGACTTGCCCTTCTACTTTCTGCTCATTTATTTTCACAACCTATGCATTTAGAGCTGAACAGCCACCAGTTCTGCCAATTCAGGCAGAAGGAGATTTCAGGTGCTTCTGACATTGTCCGGATGCTGAACAACCCTCAGATCTGGGCGAGTATATGCTAAGTCTACAGGCTAAGTCAGAAATTCGTGCTTGAATCACGACAGCAGCCCAGCTTTGCTCTCACTACGCTGGTCTCTATCTGTAATGCTCTCCCCTATTCCCTTCCCAAGAATATCCCGTTGCTTTTTGTACTCAGTGTTCATGCAATAGGCATCCGCTCATCCACCGCCACATCAAATTCTCAGGCTAACCTGAAGCCCCTTCTGCCTGCTTTTTTTCTGGGAGCATCGAGGGACACAGCTGATTTGTAAACATACTCATTTGAAAGACTGCCCTGAAATTAAGTCAGTTCAATGGACGGCCAGGTTCTTTCCTTCTCTTCAGTAGCTCTCCTTCTCATTGCAGGTTAATTAACCTCAGACCAAGGGTTCTTATTATGTTCCCAAAATAAAGACGGAGCTCCTTCAATGGATAAACTTAGTGTGTACAAATTTAGCCAACTCATCTGAATCCACAGCCCTTCCTGCCTCTGTGTCTTCTCAGTGGTCAGATACTGACCTCCACCAAAGTAGCAGGAAAGAGAGGGCGCAGCGGAGAGATGGCTCCCCACACTATCGGATTGCTGCCTCATGGAAGCCTTTTTCCATTTAAAGAGAGGTTTGTTGCTGGCTGGGGTTTGTTGCTGGCTGGGGTGAAGGGAGAGGTGAGGGGAGGGGTGCTGATGAGAACGTTAGCCTCACCACTGTGCTCAGCCCCAGAACTCTGAAAGGTTTTAATGGATCTTTTCAATCTACTTTGAAAAGTCTTAGTCTAACTACCACATAATTATCATTTCTACGAGAAAATATGTTCCAAACACCTGACTTGAAAAACAAATGTTGGGGTGGAGGGGATGAATGAAAAAGGGGAAGGGATTAAGGTGTACAAATTGCCAGTTATGAAAAACAGTCACAGGGATGTAAAGTACAGTATAGAGAATATAGTCAATGATGTTGTAATAACTATGCATGCTGTCAGATGGGTACTAGATTTAACAGGGTCATCACTCATAGGTTATATAAATGTCCAGTCACTATGTTATACACATGAAGCTAACATACTTGCATATGCTAACTGTAATTGCAAAAAAAAATGTTTTAATTAAAAAAATAATTTTGGAAAGCAGCCCATTTCAACAAATCTGAGATAATAAAGAGAGGGTGCTGGCTGGTGTGGCTCAGTTGGTTAGAACACTATCCTGAGCACCTAAGGGTTGTGGGTTCGATTCCCAGGTCAAGGCACAAACCCAGGTTGCCGGTTCGATACCAGTTAGGGAGCGTAAGGAAGGCAACCAATTGATATTTCTCTCACACACTGATGTTTATCTCTCTCCTTCCCTCCCTCTTTAGAATCAATGAAACATATTCTCGAGTGAGGATAAAAATTAATAAATAAACAAACAAATAAACAAACAAATAAATAAATAAATAAATAAATAAATGTAAAAGATAGGGGGAAAGTCTGTGGAAGGGCTACCATATAAACTGAACTCAGACACACAGATTGTGACAACATAAGTAAAAATAGCACTTAGGATGATGATGATATAAGGAGTGAACCTGGTGTTTTAAAAAAGAAATAGAGTACTCTCTAGGACCTACATTAACATAATTCATAGTTAGCTATTTTTTTTTTTAACGAAAAGAGGTAAATCCTAAGAAAACAACTGGGTAATGGGGATTAACACAGCAATATCCCCAAACCTTCCAGGTTAGGTAGTACCTGACGGCCAATAAAAGTTCAGCCCAATTTCCTATCAACTTATTATGTAATATCACAGATGTCCAGAGCGGTGACTGTGGAGGCTTATCAGAATCATCTGGGAAAATGCACAACAGTAAAAAAACAACTAAATTAAAGTCAGAAGAATGAACAGTTTTCACCATGGACTGAATGTTTGTGCCCCCCATTCATATGTAGAAGCCTAAATCCCCAGTGCGATGGTTTAGAAGTGGGGCCTCCGGAAGGTCATTGGGTTTTGTTGGTACCAAAGGGTGGCCCCCGTTATGGGATTTCTAATGACCTTTCTGAGAGACACGAGAGACTTTGCAGCCTGCTGTTCCCTCTCATGGGAAGGCGGAAGGAGAAGCAGGCAGTCCGCAGCCCTGGAGATGCCCCTCACCAGAACACCATCAAGCTGGCGCTGATCTCCGACTTCAGGACTCCAGAACTGTGAGACA